AATACTTTTCAAAATTTAAATAAAATTTAGTATGCATATATACGAGGATTAATAATTTTATACAAATATGGTAGAGTATCAACGACAAGATTTAAAATTAACACGAACTTTATTAGAAATGTTCTTCAATTACATCCTAATTGCTCTGATGAAATTTTTGAGGATAAATATATTAATCGGTAATATTTATGATTTGTATCCGAGCCCAGCTTAAACTATAAAAGGACCACAAAGGGATATTGTCTCTTTAGTAATTTATAGGGGAAATTGTTAAGGATATTTACTTATTATTAGAGCTCAGCCTCGGGTCGGGCACAGGTTACCGCGCCCGGTAGCCCGGAAACCTGGTATTTTGATAAAATCCGGCTTATTCGGGTTTTAGAGGTTTTTGGCTCGGAAATGCCGGCCTGGGTCAACTTGTAATAAAAACAATTATCTTAGTAAAACAATTTTAAAATTTTTAAGCTCTGAATACTACAATCCTGAAAATAAACATAATTGGGATTTAGTTATGCTAGCAAAGAGAATAGATGTTGGACTGGAGGAATGTAAAGTGGATCTGGACGCTGTTAAAAAACTTTATATAAATACCGGAAACATAAATGATGAGGAATTTTCTAATAGTTATTTGAGTTATCCAAAAGAAGAAACCCAAAATAATTTAGATGAGCAAGATGACGAGGACAATTATTGGGAAGATTGGAATGAAAGAACAATGGGTGAGCAACATAAAACCGGGCATTCTCATGTTAGCAATATTCGACACACAGATAAAGGGAAGAATAAAATGTTTAACAATGAGTGAAAACATTTTCAGCAAATTCGAGATGAATTATTATGTTAGGGGGAAAGGAAAATCTAAAATTATTATACTCCATTACTAAATATTTTAGTTCATATTTTTACAATTTAAATTAATTTAAGGGGGCTTATTTTAGAGGGGGGAGGGGCTTATTTTTTCCGATCGACCTAGAGGGGCTTATTTTGGAGTGGGGGGGGGGCTTATTTTTTCTATCAAATATAGACGGGGTTATTTTCGAGTTGGGGCGCTTATTTTGGAGGGATGGGGGTGTTTATTTTAGGAGGGGCATTGGAGGATTTACGGTATATACCAAGCAGAGTTGTTTCGAAATTCCGATCATAATTAGGGTTGCCGGCCCGGTTCGTTTCGATAGATCGAACCGGGCATCGAATTTTGGCCAGAAAAGACTCGAACGGCCTGGACTGATAAAAATGAGGCGCGAAAAAAATGACTCGAACGTCGGCCCGGTTCGAAAACGTCAACCCTAATCATAATGTTAAAAAAGAAAAAGGAAGATATTTGGCTTAAGGATATTCCAAAACTCTCAAAAATTTCGCATGCGGCGCAGAAAAGGGAAAATTCTAGTCATTAGTTTTAACAAAAAAATAACAAACTTCCGATTTTTAAAATTTTGTTTCGAAACAACTCTGATACTAAGTTTACAAATTCTAATTTTTTCTCATTTATTTTTTTAAAGTAAATTATTTAATTATCCATTTTTTTATTCATTGATGAGCCCGGTCGTCCGTAGATTACATGACCAACTACCCATTTTGTTATATCTCGAGTTAAACTATTTCTTTTCATTTGATGTCTTTTATTTATTAATTAGTAAAAATTTTTACATTTCTATGCAAATTTTCACTTCAATATCCTATTTACTTCCTGTGAAAAATTATCCCGATTTAAAATTAGTAAATTCTTAACCGTCCGTAAATTATAAGACGACCTTAATTTTCTAACTCATTTTAAGCTAGAGATAGACAAAAATTCTATCAAACATATATATTGATGTTATAAAAAAATAATTAAGAACTAGGCCCATATCTTTATCCAAGGTCCAGCTCCTGATACCCTGAAAATCAACGTAAAACAGGGGTAAGCAACTTAAAAAACATTTTCGCCTTTTTATGGATTATTTTGAAATTTCATTTTAGGCTTATTTGAAAGCCCTTGAAATTTGCTACAAGACAAAATCTGTAAAAAATTTAATTGAGAGATACATTAATTTTCCAGTGCGAACTTAAGGGACACTTTATGCGCATTTAGGCGTTTCTGGGAGACTTTGAAATCTAACTCTAAATATTTTTACAAAATAAAATTTTGGTTATCTTGTCATTTCCGATCGACATCTGATAATGATACCATTTTAAAAAAAGGTGCATTTTTTCAGTCGCTTTAATAAATTAGTTCAAAAAATTTTTTAAAGTATTCATTTAACATTAAATATTTATTTAAAAACATAAAAGTGTTGTTTTAAAGTTCATAATTTGTCTGTTATTAATTAGGAAACAGATCTGACTATTGTCTCTATCTGAAGTTTCCGAGTATGAGTAATGCCGAGTATTATGAACCCGAGCCCCGAGCCAAGTAATGACGCAAAAAACCCGAGCGGTCGAGTCGAGTAAACTCGAACTCGCTCGACTCGGACGTACTCTAGTTTAAAATGACGATTTTGAAAAAGGTTTAAAATGACGATTGTTTTATGTCTATTTATTTTATTTCAATATAAATTTAAGTCGTTGAGTTATTCTAGATTTTTAATAGCTTAGTGTATGAATTCATCCTTAAATTAAATTTATTATTTTTGTTAATCAAAACAAAATTAATTTTAAATAACTTTTAAAATTAATTTAAAATGAAATTAATTAGTATTTTAATCTTTTTAATTTTCAATTCGATATTGTGGAGTTTAATTAATTCTTTTAAAAATAATAAAAATCAAAACGAGACAATTAGAGTTGAGGAAACTTCAAAGGATTTAAATAAAATATTAAATGATGGGGCTGAATCGTCGGTTAATCCTCAAATTCAAAAATATGAAAGAGAGTTAAAGCTAAAATCTAAAATTAAAAAAGGGAATAAAATTGTAAAGAATGAAGACGAAAAAAAGTTTAAGAAAAAAGAATATGATAAAAATCACTACCAGAAAAATAAGGAAAAGAAAAGTGAGGATTAACGAAATTTGTATATAAAAAATAAATAAAATAAAACTTTTAAAGAAAAAAGGAGCCAATATAGAAAAAAACAATACCAAAAGAATAGAGAAAGATCGCTAGAATATCAACGAGAATACCGCTTAAAGAAGAAAAATGAAAAAGAAATTCTAGAAAAGATACTACAATTGGATAAAGGGGAAGGAAATGAATTTCATATTCCACTGACTGATGATTTTAACTATATAGGTAAATGGCCAATAGATTATGAAAAGCAATCACTTGAAGATGATAATAATGAAGGAACTTCTTTTGTTAATCCACAGGACAATGATTGTGAATGTAAAGGAAAAGAACCTGTCAAGGAGAACGTTCAGTTAGATCAAGTAAATATTCGTTTACAAAAAGATAATTCAATTCAGTCATCTCATAAGGATGAAGGAAATCCAGCACATCCAGTTAATCCGCAGAACGTCAATAATGATGATAATTCAATGAATTGCCCTAATGAACAAGAAAATGTTCATATTGAACATTGTAATCAACAGAATGACCTGAATGATGTGGATTATCTTAATTTTTTGTATGATCTAAATTTCATGGATAATCAGAATTTCTTTTAAAGAAATGAATTTATCTGATAAACAAATAGATGATTTGAATTTTTAAATTTTAAACAAAACTAAATATTTTTCAACTTTCTTTTAATTTTTAATTTTAACACTTTTTTCTAATAAATCCATTAAGATTACATAAATAGCCAAATTGTTTTACATATACCGTATATATTCTATTAATAATTACCCCGCATCTATTAATTAACCTCTCAAGAGAAATGTCGAAACAATAAATACCCCAAGTAATTAATAGAGTATATACGGTAAGTAAATTATAATGTATAAATTATAATGTATAAAGTAATTTTAATTCAATTTTAGTGTTTATAATTCTTTGCGGATTTTTTAGATCAAAATTGCGGATTTTTAAAATTTCAAGATCGAAACCCTGTTCAGAACTTATTTGACCATTATAAATTTTAATTTTTTTTAAAGATTTTCTTTAATGTTTGTGAGAATGCCCTTTGAGATTTCATAATTTGTCGGCTTTAATAAATTTGTTTACAAAATATTTAGCAATATTGCCCTTTTACATATAATCATGAAAAAGTACAATTATTACAAAATATATGTAAAAAAACACCGGTTGTTTTTACATTTATTCACTTTAAATTATCTTTATTATTTAGCGTTAATTAAAAAAATTAATTTTTAGAATAAATTTTTATATTAATTTAGAATGAAATTAATTAGTATTTTAATCTTTTTAATTTACAATTCGATATTGTGGAGTTTGATTAATTCTGTTAAAAATACTAAAAATCAAAAGGAGTTAAATAGAGTTGAGGAACCCTCAAAGGATTTAAATAAAATATTGAATGATCGGGCTGAATCGTCTGTTGCTCCTCAAAATCAAAAATATAAAGAGATATTAAAACCAAAAATTACTAAAATGTACAAGAATGACAGTAAGTTGGCAGAAAAAAAGATAAAGAAAAAAGAATATGACAACGATTATTACCAAAAGAATAAAGAAAAGAGGAAAGAATCTGATCGAATATATCGGGAAAACAATAAAGAAAAATTAAAAGAAAAGAGAAGCTCTGCAAATTTTAAACAAATTAGAAAAAAACATGATCGGAACTACAGAAATTAACTATATAATTTCACACTTTCCGTCACGCTTTTTGCCGTTTTTTAAAAAGAAAAACAAAATTTGTTTTGACACGAAAATTTTCTTTTTTAAAAATAAGAGAGAAAAATTTGTTTTTCTCTAATTTTTAATGAAAAAATTAAGTGTAAACAAAAACAACCAGCCATCTGCCATTTAGACGCGGCAGTAACCAGCCGTCTGCCTTTTATTCGCAAGCAGTAATTTTAAAAATAAATCGCAGCCTTTTAACCGCAAACACTATTAGAGCCAAAAAGGGATATTGAGGATTTTAGGATTAAAAATTATTAAAGGGTGTTTGGTGATTAATTGAATACTAAGTATTTGAAGAGATGAAGGTGAATTAGGATAATAAAGTTAACGGTAGATTTGTAGGGGGTTAAGTAAATATCGGAGGTGAACTGTGATTCGGGAGAGTTTATGCAGAATGATGTTTGGGGGTTTGAGGATAGTAAAGAATATCGGAGATTTATGTACGTATTAAGAGGGTAAAAGATAGTGATAAAGCGGATATTGTGGATTGTGGGAAATTAAGGCAATATTGTGACTTGAGCAAATGTATGGCGGATTTTGAGGATTAATAGGGATATCAGAGATTGGAAGAAAAAAAGAGAAATAAAGAAGAGTTAATAGAGATATGGACCAGAGATGGGCGAAAATTTTCGTTTCGTTATTTTCGCGGACGAATATAACGAATTTTCTATATTTTTGCGACGTACCCCGCTAATTAAGAGAAAAAATTTGCCTACGGCAAATAAATTGTCCAACATAGTTCTTTGATTCATAATTTTTTTAGATTATGAAGCGGTATATTGTGGATTGTTCATAATTTTTTTAAATTATGAATCAAAATGTAGTAATTGCAAATAGATAACAGAGAATTAAAAAGGATATCAGGGAATTTTGGCAGATATTGGGAGGGAGTTCGGCGGGTATTCATATGCCGTTATTTTTTCGTTTCGTTTTTTACGCACACAGATGATTTTATTTTTTTCGCTTTCGTTTCGCTGAGGGCAAAATTCTATTTTCGCCCATCTCTGATATAGACTATTTTGGAAACTTTCGAGTGAGAGTGTTAAAGAGAATATCGGTACTTTGAATTGATATCGGGGGATTTATATTAAAAACATAAGTTCTGTGAAGATATGGAGGATTTGAGATATAAAGTGGGATATATAAGGGATCTTTTAGTTACAAACGATAAATTCAGATTTAATGAAGGGATTTTGAGGATTCCGAACATTAAGACGGATATTGGGAAACTATTAATTTTTATTATTTGGGGTATAGTATTTAGGAAACTATTAATTTTTATTATTTGGGGTATAGTATTTAGGAAATACAAGAAAGGTATTAGTGTTTGAAAGTGACTCTGATGAGTGACTGGGGAATATCAAAAGTTTTGTGGGCTTAATATTGATATTGAGGGATGTGGATTAAGATATGATTTTGGGGATATTAGGAAAAGAGAAGTATCAAAGAATAATATAGATATCGGGGATTAGGGTAATTAAGAATGCTTTTGAGGATTAGAGTGATACGCAACACAAAAATAAGAAAAATGTGTGAAAGCCTATGAAACCTAATCATCAGAGACTAAGGGATTAAGAAGCAAATAAGGGGAGTTATTGGAAGGATTACGGGAAATAAAGAGTAGGATTTGGTAATTAAGAGGGATATCCTGGATTTGATCTGATTAAGAGGGATATCGGGTATTTGATGAATAAAGTGATATATCGTGAGTTTGGGCGAATAAAATGTGAGGGTTAGATTAGTTTAACTTGAGGGATGTCGCGGATATATTTTAAAGATAAAAATATATATTAAAAATAAAAATATATATTAAAGGGTATCTTTAATCTTATATGATTATAAGATTAAAGAGTATTTATGGTTACATGTATATCAAGGAATTTAGGAAGATATCGTTGCATTAGGGATAAAATTATGTATTTGGGGATATGGAAATTGAGTGATATAGGTGGATTTGGGGAAAATGGAGGGTTAAAAGATGATATCGGAGGATTTGGGAGACTAGAAGTGATATAGAGTAGTTTATATCTGGGATTTAAATGGTGATATCTGGGATTTTGAAAAATAAAGAGGAATATTTGCGTCTTGAAAAATAATGAGTGATATAGGGGGTTTTGAGTATGAATAAGATGGAACAAGTGTTAATGGTGATGTCTCTGAGTTTGGAAATAGAGTTTTGTATGTTTTGTGAGGATAATGGGCGATATGTATTTTGGAGAATAAAATGCGTTTTCAGATAATAGGGGATTGAGAAGAATAACAGAGGATTAAGAGTGATAACGTGATTTTGGGATATTAGGGGTTAAGAGGGATGCCAGAGGATTTAGGGACTTTTGTTAATATATAGGTTTTGAGAGATACAGAGTGATAACTGTGAAGTATGAAAAGTGAATTCGTATGGTGATATATCACGGGATTTAGGGTGATTAAGAAGGATATCAAAGGATTTCGGGGCTAAAGGGTAATATCCGAGATTTTGGGGAGCAAAGAAAAAATATAGATGACTTGGGCCCAAAAAAATAATATCTGGTTTTTGGGGACAAATGGTAATATCTGTGTTTGGGGGGGGGGGGTGGTTAAGAGAGATATCAGAACATTAGAGAGGGGATTAACAGGATGGTGGTTAAGAGGTATATTGCAGTTTTTTGAAGTTAAAGGTTGATAGTTGTGATGTGTGATTAAAAGATATTTTTAAAGATTAGACTCTTCCCATCAATTGATGAGAAGATTCCAGAAACGAGTGAGATGTTGGGGTTTGAGCCCGTCAAAGTGAAAGGTTGATCTAGGAAGAATTAAAAGGTGTTGTACGAGCGTTAGGACGCGCGAAGCGCGTCCTAACGCTCGTAAGAATAGAGAGAAGATACTAGAACATAAAAAAATTTACGACCAAAATAATAAAGAAAAGAAGAGAGAAGCTAGTAGAAAGTACCGAGAAAAAAAGAAAAACGAGAAGGAAAATTTAAAAAATAAAATTTCAATATTAGGAGACATTCAATCGGAAATTAATGAAGGAACTTCTTTTTTTAATCCTGAAAATAACGATTCGCCAAAAGCCTCAGATAATTTAACTAAAATATTAAATGATGGGGCTGAATCATCGGTTGCTCCTCAAATTCAAATATATAAAGAAGCGTTAAAAACAACTTCCAAAAATGGAACTAAACTTGAAATTGTGCAAAATATTAATTCAAAATTAATAAATATTCAATCTAATGAAGGAAATTTATTAGCTAATACACAAAATAATGAATGTGAAAGTAAAGAAAAGGAACCGATTGTTTCCAAAGAGAATATCCAGTTAGAAAAAGGAGAAGATGTGGAAGTGACTGATAATGCTGAAGAAGGAGAAGATACTCCTATTCAATCTTCTCATAATAGGGAAGAAAATAATAATACTGAAGGAACTTCATTAGTTAATCCACAGACGGATAGTTATGTAGCTAATTTAACTGACACAAATGCTTGCCCTTATGGACAAACAAATGTTCAATCAGCTGATGTCCTTCATACTCAACAAATGGATGATCATGATGATTTAATTGATCTGAATTTATTGGATGATTCGAATTTTTTGGATTATTTAAATTCTTTTGATAACTCCTGAAGACATTTCGGATAAACAAATGGATGAATTTTATATAAGAAAACACAAAGAATACTATATCTTTCCGTTCTCTATATTTGATCTTTTCTTTACATAATTATAGCTGTACATACATATGAACTATTCTACAAAATTATGTCCAAATATTTTTTCATATTTATTTTTCTTAATTTAATTTTCTTTAATTTTTTAATTAAAATTGCTTCGTTCTATAGACAATCAATAAATTTTTAAATAAATGTTTTCCTTTTCCGGATTCGCAAAAAGGGGAAGAAATCTACTGCTTGGACTTCCAATATTCAAAAATTTTCGCCTGCGGCGCTGAAATTCGATGAGATATGTTTACAATTTAAAGGAAATGCCGAGGTGTTTGGGCGAGATTTCCTGCCCCATTGAAAGTGTAATTAGCTTGGCTGGCTTGGCAACTAAATGAATAATGAATCACACTAAGCAGAAACTTTTAAACGCAAAGTTATTAGTACATCTTAACATTTGATTTTATTATGTTTTGTGTTTATTTATGAGGATTTAAAAATTTCTTGTCACCGCCGCAGGCGAAAACATAATGAATCTAATGAAACGCAACGATTCGTCAATTTGCATTATCCAATGATATTAATCTATGTGTGACATGTGCTGATCAGCTGACGACTTTGAATTTAAAACACAATAAGAACTATTGTCACAGCATTCTTATAGTATGTAAAAATAATATTTATTGAAAATATTAAATAACGATATTGTCAGATTATTTCTATAATTTTATAAAAATTCATGTGCATTTATCCAAAAAATAAATCGTTGGAAAATCGTTAAAACAATGCAGCAAAGTTAAAACTTATCGTCGCAAATAGAGCCCTGAATTAAAGATGTGTTCATAATTTTCTATCACTAGTCAAAAATTGGATTGTCGGTTTCAAATCAAATAGGACAGAAAATTTTGGTTCAGTTTCGGTTTTTGCTAAAACCGAAAACAACCCAAGTTAAAAACAATTTTTGTTCTCGAATTTAGGGCTCTATTTCTGAATTAAATAATTAAAATAAAGCAAGATTTAATTGAAGCGTTTAACTAAAAAAGGGATGGTTTTGTTTTTAATTAATCAAAAACGAAAGTTTAGAAATTCATTTGTGCCCGTGCAAACCAAACAAAAATGTTTTATTAAAGATTGGACTAATAAATTAGGGGAATTTTAAGGGAATTCTTTTTAAATTTTTGAAATCGGTCCTGGTCCCAAACTAAAAATGAGAGAAATATCAAGGTGAGTGTGCCTGCGCGATATCCAAATGTAGTGGTGTCCGGAAAATTAATATTGGGATTGGGGTGACAAAAATAATTTCTTGCGTGTTTGCATTTGTTCTAAAACATAAAAACTATTCTTCAATAGGACAATATACTATCCAAGACCCAGTGGCCGTAGGTCCCGAAATCAGTAGGATAACTTTCATACATTGAAATATCCCGATATGTCCGTCCCGATATGTCCGCGTGCAAATGTAGTAGGGTCTCCCGCAGGAAATAAGTTCAGAAAACCTTGCTATAATAAAGGAAACATCAATTTATTAGTCCAATCTCTAATCCTCTCAACTTTAAATTCCTCTTATATATCACTACACAATTTTTCACAACTGTTCAATTCTACCCTCATTCTCCAATTTCTGGAAATGTTGTTGCCCGTGTTCCAAACTAGTAGAAGTTCCTTGACGTATCACAACCGAAGAAGAATCACTATTATTATTTTCATGATCTGCTCCCTCCGTTTCTGTTGAAGAAGATGACAATCTCCCACAATTCTCTCCATTCCCCAAAAGTAAATGACCGTTCTCTCCCTTGTAGTTATTAATACTCTTTTTGCTAGGAGAGTCTTCATTTTCAGTTCTATAAGTTAACAAGGAAGTGTTCTCGTCATCATCGTTTTCGTGGTCCTCATAATTTTTCAGATGCCCGTTTTGATGAGGGGAATGTTGTGTTTGATGACTAATATCTATTATTTCATCCCCTTGAGCAGTTGGTGATGAGCTGAAGTCTAAAAGTTGTTCTTGGTAGTTGTTGTTGTTGCGATTTTCCTCCTTAATTAAAAAATGATTTCAAAAATTTTTTCAATTAACCTGATGAATGTCTTGTTGTTCATAATTCCTCCATCCGACGGGTTGTTGTTGTTGCTGACTTTCTTCTCCAACGGGCGACATGGGATGGGATTGTTCACTATTCGGTTCATCTTCTCCTTGATACTAAAATAAATGAAATTTGATATGGTTATTTTACAATCAGACCACAATACATATAAGATACCACCGTTGGGGTCAAAAAATAGTATTCTACAATGAGAGTTATCTAATTTTGGGAGTATCGTTTAAAAAAGCACCTTTCCTTAGTCTAATTTATGGTTCCTAAATTATGTTCAACTATAGTACTCACCCCAACATATTTATGATCAGAAGCTGGCGTTATTTCTATTGAAGGCTGTTGAAGAAAAGGTTTAGATTGATTAGATCGAGCATCATCCTCATAACCAGAGGCTAAGAGATTCGGTGATTCAGATAGCTGAAGAGATTGTTCTTCCTTTTCATTCAAGCTTTGCTTTTCACTGTGTTCCGAACGAAACGTTTCAGATTCATTTTCACGTTCCGTGCGTTGAGTTTCATCTTCATTCCTCTCATAAAATTCTGTCCCTTCTCCTTCTTTTGAAGTTAAATTAGGGCTTCCAAAATTATTTATGGATCCATCTTGATCAAACTCTCCAATGTGTCCATCTCCAAATACCTCTTCAAGTCTAGCTTCAGAAACAACTTCAGGACTAAAGCCAGTCCGATCCTCAACATTCCTGTCACTAACTTCCTGCTCACTTTCCGGTCTAACTTCTGAAATATTTTCTTGAACATCTTCGTGTCTAGCTTCAGAAACGTTTTCATGTCCCGCCTCCGACATATCTTCAGATTTTCGACTGGTAATTTCA